GTACTTATTAATTCCACAAAATGTAAAAAAATGCCACCTTTTCAAAGTGATGTCATGTAGCATATGTGTTTTTCCAACCAACAATTTAAAATCCTAAAAATAAATGTAAAACAAAGAAAAGAAAAGCAGAAAGTCCTCATTTTATAAGCTTTAACCTGATATTGTTTTGCCATTGTGCTTGATAATTTCATTTGTTTAATCGACTTAGTCTTTGACCCTATGAGTAATATACAGTATACCCAAATATTGCCATGGCGAGATACCTTATGACTCTGAATTATTTGCAGCCAGCTCTGTCTGGACCATGAGCAGCCTTACCTCTAGGCATGTTGTGTAGCTGCATTAAAAAAGATCCATTTAGTTTCCTGTATATGTCAAACTGTATTTATCTGATGGGCTCTGGTCAGTTTAAAGAAAATAGGAACTTCAAATAATTAAAGATAAATGAATTGGCTGTTTTCATTAAAGGTTTACAGCAGAACAATGCAAAAGAAACCGTATAAGGTAGATTGTCCACAGAGAATGTAAAACATTTGCTAAAAGTTTTCATTTTGTAGACGAAAACATTGAAATCAGTGAAGTCAAAAGACACCCCCGCTTGTCATGTCTCAGATCCTGCAGTATTTCTTTATGCATACTCCAATATGACACATTTAGATTAAAACAATTCGTAAAATAAACCAAAAGACAGGGAACCCCGAAGTGTTTCTTAGTCTTCTTAAGTATGCTGATAATTGTATCTGTCAATTCAAAATGTAGTCAGAAAAGTTCCTATAATGTATAGAGCCCATTGAGCCAAAGGTCCAAGAATCAACCATCATCAACAAGATATGTTTCAAGGCAAGGCAAGTTTATTTATATAGCACTTTTCAACACAAGCCAATTCAAAGTGCTTTACAAAAAATGAAAGACATTAAGAAAATGGCATTTAAAATCAGTCATTAAAAAGAAAAGCTAATAAAATAAACATTAAAAGAAAAAATACATGGATAAAAGTTACAGTGCAGTCTAAGATATGAATAGTTCAATTAAAAGCAGCGACAAAAAGAAAATTCTTCAGCCTGGATTTAAAAGTAGTCAGAGTTGCAGCGGACCTGCAGGTTTCTGGGAGTTTGTTCCAGATATTTGGAGCATAATAACTGAACGCTGCTTTACCATGTTTAGTTCTGACTCTGGGGACAGAAAGCTGATCAGTCCCTGAAGACCTGAGAGATCTGGATGGTTCATAATTTAGCAGGAGGTCAGAAATGTATTTTGGGCCTAAACCATTCAGTGCTTTATAAACCAGCAGCAGTATTTTGAAATCTATTCTTTGACACACAGGAAGCCAGTGTAAAGACTTCAGAACAGGAGTGATGTGATCCACTTTCTTAGTGTTAGTGAGGACTCGAGCAGCAGCGTTCTGAATTAGCTGCAGCTAACAAGCTACAATTCTGATCTCCCAAACCTAATTAGTGTTTTTATTTGTATTTATCTTATATGTATGACATTTACAGAATGTTCTTTTGTTTATTGTTGTTATCTAGACTAAGTTTATCTCAAACATTTTGATCTGATCCTCACATCATTGCTTTCTGATACATGCCTTTTCATTTGTTGAACCATTTGGCGGTTCTTTAACACGTAGAGTCAAAGGGTTTCACTGTATCTCCCATAAGAGCACACTTACTCTAGCTTGAACATGGGCAATACTAAAAAACAGAAGCTGTCCAGGCCATTTGAAACACAGGGCTGTTCTGCACAGCTCAATTAAAATCAGAGGATAGCTCCGACTGTAGCTAGACTGTACTGTAGTTTGCTCTGGGCCATGAGAAGGTGCATTCTCTTTGAATGAGGGTCACTTCTTGGATTATAATGCTGTGGCTATAGAACATGTTGCAGAGAGAACTCACCTTCAACATAATGACAAACAGCATCTTCAATTACAATCAACCAACCATTCACTCTTGGCAGCTTTCATTGACTCACATCGTCTCAGGAAACTCCAGCTAAATAAATGAGCTCTTTGCTTGTCTATTCGCACCCTGTCTTGAGTCCAAATATGTGTTTACACCGAGTCAGTTTTGCAAAGACATCTTGAATGAAGGTGTTCAATTCATTTCTTTGAAGGAAGTGTTGTTCAGTTTTGATTACAGACGTGTCTCTTGCTTCCATAGTTTGAAGCTTTTGCTTTAGTTTCGTCATTGGCAGGATGTGCTTGACCTTTTTGGACTCTCAGGCCACCGTGGTCATCGTCTCATCTCTGTGCTTTCCCTAATTTAGCTTGTCACCAGATGACGTGAAAAGAGATTGAAGTTTTTCCTCACTCCAACCTGTTTCCTGGGGTGTCGATCAGAGGACTCATTTGTGTGTGGGGTTGAAGGAAGGAGAGAGGAAGATTAGCTTCATCATCAACAGCAGCGCAATACCTCTTATTCTCTCTCTTTACCTTCATTGCTCCTGCTTCTTTCCCTTCATCCATCTTCCATTTCTTCTTATTCTTTTACCGCATTCTGCTCCACTCTTCCCATCCCCCTCTGTCTCCTCTCTCTCTCTCTTTCTGTCTCCCATCCACCCCTCCCCTGTCTTTTCTTTCAGTATTCTTTCCTTCCTCTTCCTCTCCATCTTCTCTCCCTCTTTTATTCACTCATCTCCTTGTCAGTCACCTTCCATCTCTTTCTCGTCCTCTTTCCCTATCACACACTTGCATCCGAGTCCGTGCATGAAACAATCTTCAAACACTTTTGAGAGAGGGAGAGAGAGACGGACGGACGGACAGACAGACAGACGGACGGACGGACGGACGGACGGACAGACGGACGGACAGACAGACGGACGGACAGACGGACGGACAGACATTGGGGAAGGCAGAGACAAATAATGACAGACGGAGATGTAGAGTGAGGCGAGCCAGCCTGGAGGATCCATCATTTCACACTGATATAATGTGCATTTCATTTTTGTTTTTTAAATGTTTGAGGTGCCCACTTATCATGACACTACCAAGGAGCCAAGTGCAAGCCAATCATAAAAAAGCTGCTTGTTTGTTTATTTTAAATCTACTCCCCACATGCTGATTCGTCGGAAGGACGTTTGTTTGTTTGTGTCTGGTCTATGTTTGTGTGACCAAAAATGAAACTGTTGAAGAAAAAGAAGAGGGTTGGAGGCGGGCAAAGTAAGCCCCGCCTCCTCTCATCCCTCACGTATAAATAGGAGGCGAACGTAGCCCGTTCTCACTCAACACTCCAGTGAAGAATGAGATCCTTAAAGCACCTGAAACCTCACAGCAAGCGGAGCGCGGTGAGTTCATTGGCTCTCACTCGTAGCATGTCAAGTGGTCGTTTCTGTGATGACACTCACAGCTGAGAGGAGAGCTGCTGGCTGAGATGCTTCTCTGTAGTTTGTTTTTAAAGTTGCCATTTGCAGATTCATCTTCCTCACTAATTAAGAATCGTGTCTGGCTTTAACTCCATTCGCCTTTTTCAACTCTTCTTCCGTCCGCTTCTCTTTTTTGTATATCTTTCATTATGTCTGGGCTTTCATTTTGTCATTTTCCTTTCTCCTTCTGGTTTCTCACTGCATCTCCTCCCCCCTCTCTCTCTCTCTCTCCCGCTCTCTCCTATCAATTCTAAATAATATTCTATATCGCTCTAATGATCTATCTCTGTTCTATATCTCTCCTCCTCTCTCTATCTCCTCCCTCCCTCTCTCTCTCCTCTCCCCTCCCTCTCCTCTCCCTCCCTCTCTCTCTCTCTCTCTCTCTCTCTCTCTCTTCTCTCTCTCTTCTGTCTGTCTGTCTCTACATATCTTCTTTCCTCTTTCTGCCTCTTGCCTCTCTTTTGAACTGCTGCTGCCCTTAACACTACACCCTCTCATCTTTCACTCCCTCCCCTCCCTCGCCAGTGTCTCTCTCTTTCTCTCTCCAGGCCTTCCTCCTCTCCCCTCCTCAACCCACCCCTCCTCATTATCTCTCCTTTACTCTCCCTCTACCTTTCATTTTTCCTTTCTCCCCCCTCCCCTCCACTAGACGATTGCCTGCTCTAAGCTCTCTCTCCTCCCTCCCTCCCTCCGTTTCTGCTTTTTCCTCTTTCTCCCCCCTCTGTTCTCTCTCTGCTCTCCCATGTTTTTTGTCTCCCCTTCTGCTTTTCCATTCTTTTTTATATTTCTTAATCTTACTCCGTTTTTTCTTCCTCTTTTTCTCCACTTGCACATGTGCTGTGTGTAGATCAGTAGGCCATCTTCCACACACACACACACACACACACACACACACACACACACACACACACACACACACACTAGCCATACATGGTTAGCACGCTGGATTAGGATGGTGGTGTCTTTCATAGCTCCAGTGTCTCAGTCCCTCTATCCAACGATGTGCCTTAAGACAGTCCTGATTCAGGTTTACTTAGCATTGATTTGTGATGAGGTTAGTCGCTGCAGGAGGAAATGTTCTCTACTTCCTTTGTTTTTCCTTCCTTGTGATGCAATAAGGGGCTCCTTAGAATAAAAATAGTGTTTTTCTCCTTCCTTCCTCCTTGAAAACCGACTCAAAGTGACGCTCTGATTGGACGATGACCTACGACACCTTTTTGTCTTCATCAGATCACTTTGATGAAGGACACATTCTCGTTGGAGGACAGTTTGCTGTAGTTTGTCTCTTGGTAAATTATTGTCATTATTACTTTGCGGTCTTGGTTCATGTTGTAGACCATGTAGTGGTATCCTAAGTGTCCTGTGTTGACAATTTCGTGCTTTTTGCAAGTTATCAATTGAGAGATTTGGTGAAACAACAATCAAATGTTTCAGGTTGCTGGTTTCGGTGAAACCCTTCTTGCCGACGATGCAACTTAAAACGCTGATAGAAATAAAAACCTTGGTTTAATTATTTTTCTAAAAATATCTTACCATAGATGATTCTGAACAACTAAGTTTGACTGACTATATCTCTTTAATCAGATGTATATTTTCTTCCTTGCAGTACTGATGTCTTGTCTTTGCTTGTCTCTCTGTTCCAGGAGGAGGCGAGCCGGCGCCTGGGTAGATGTGAGCCCAAGGTAATGGCCAGGCTGGTGGACATAGGCACACAGACAGATCCAGTGGTTGTGCTGTCCCTGGCCCAGGCTGCCGTGCTAGGTCTCATCTCCCAGAATGAAGTGTTTGGCGCCACCATTGCACCCAACGGCTTCTACACCGGCGAGCCCAAAGAGTCCCCCGCACCGACAGTAGAAGGAGTCGACTACGAGTACGCAGACCAGCTTATCGGAGCCAACGGAGATTACCTCGGAGACAACTTGGGAGAAGACGGACAGATGCAACCCAGCTGCAGTCAGAGGAGGTGGCAGCAGGGGCCCCCTCAACACCCCGACACAAAAATGGTGGGCCCCGATCGCCACAGCCTTCAAGGCGCTGACATTTCCACATCACATGTGAAAGGGGAAGTGGTGAACTCTGGGATGCCCTCCTGTGTCCACATGCTGAACAATATGGCTCCCAGAGGCGGATTAGTACAAGTGGACCCGGCCACGCTCAGAGGCACCAACAAGAACTGTGTTGAGTGTGAGCGGGATGTAACCAACCAGACGCAAGCCAACGCACACGTTCACCCTCCTCCCCCTCAGGTGGGTCACAGAGGAGGGGAGCAGGGCCACAGAGGGCTGCAGGGCCAGCGCCCGATGGGGGCCCACGGTCGAGGTGGCAGAGAGGAGGAGGAAGAGGTGGAACACCCGGTGAACAACATGATGAAGCCCACGCAGCAGGAGGAGGCCATCAGCAGCTACTTCCAGACCAGTGAAGTGGGCAGCTATGATTCGGCGGAAATGAGCATGCCGAGCGAGTACGAGGACAGCAGCCAGAACATGATGTGGACGGACGGGAACACGGCGGCACAGCATCAGCCGCCTCCACACCCCCAGCCTCCTCGTCGGCACGGCGGCCGCAGAGTGGACCGGCTAGACATCAACATCCAGATCGACGAGTCTTACTGCGTGGACGTGGGGGACGGTCTGAAGCGCTGGAAGTGCCGCATGTGTGACAAATCGTACACCTCCAAGTACAACCTGGTCACGCACATCCTGGGCCACAACGGCATCAAACCGCACGCCTGTCCGAACTGCGGGAAGCTCTTCAAGCAGCCCAGTCACCTTCAAACCCACCTGCTGACCCACCAGGGGACGCGGCCGCACAAGTGCACCGTCTGCAAGAAGGGCTTCACCCAGACCAGCCACCTGAAGCGACACATGCTCCAACACACCGACGTCAAGCCCTACAGCTGCCGCTTCTGCCGCCGTGGCTTCGCCTACCCCAGCGAGCTGCGGGCCCACGAGGTGAAGCACGAGCGTGGGCGATGCCATGTGTGCTCGCAATGCGGCATGGAGTTCCCCACCTACGCCCACCTCAAACGCCACCAGACCAGCCACCAGGGGCCCCACACCTTCCAGTGCACCGAGTGCAACAAGTCGTTTGCGTACCGCAGCCAGCTCCAGAACCACCTGCTGAAGCACCAGAGCCCGAGGCCTTACACCTGCTCCCAGTGTGGCCTGGAGTTTGTGCAGCTCCACCACCTCCGTCAGCACTCGCTCACACACAAGGTACTGACACCTCTCACACCCTGACTTCCTGACTGCTATTGTTAAAATCATTCTATAAATATTTCCTGCATTGATAATCAGACTGTGGAGGGTTTTCTTTTTGCAATGTAAAAGAAAAGGAGAGTAGAGTTATGGCTGGGTAAAGTCATTGAAATTGTGATAATATGTATCATATTTTTTGGGATATAGTAATATATTTTCCTGGTTTTAAGGATGCATAACAAAAAAGTGATATATTTTTCTGAAATGAATGTACTTATATCCATATTACTGTGCATTGGTCAACCCTGCAATATGGTCACTATCTATATTGAGGTTATATTTGGTCAACATTGAAGGGATATATAATTTTCCTCATATTGCCTAGCCCTAAGAAGAATACAAAAGCAATCACACACACACACACACACACACACACACACACACACACCCTCTGTTCATCTTCTGTCTTTACCAACTGTGTGTGTCTTATTTCAGACTTGTATTGTAACTAAAACTTATTTGGGGACCGGCAGCATAGAAGTGGGTGTAAACGGCAAAATATCCCAAATCAAGGACAGACTTTTTTCCATATTTTTCTATCCTTGTTATAACCCATTTATTGTTGGAGGGCTAATAAGCAGGAAATGTGCCTGTGTACAGTTACTCACCCATTCTCTATTCAACAGAGAAAGCTCCAGGCAGTGTCCTGGGGAGAATAGAGTATCTTGCTTTGAAGAAGTGTGTCATGTTAACAAATAAGGACAAATCTGTTGCAAGATAAATCCCCATCAAATGTTTGATTAAGGAAATGACAGGAATAGATATGTTGGTTCAGTGCTGCTTTGTCACAACTATTTGATTCTGTAAAATCGCAATACTGAGCCTCTTCATGTACTCCTCATTATAGTTTCATCTGAATGAAATGTCTGTAATTGCACATGCCCCCCTGTGTGTTCGACACACAATTAGTCGCGCACACAGGTAGGGAAGAGAAGAGAGAGAGAAGATGACACAGAGATCACAATGCATTACTTATTATTACAGCTATCTTTTCACCAATTATTCAGTTTGAGGTCGTACTAAAATACTTGACATGTGACATCTTGACGTTTCTATTCACAAACCACAATCTCCATCTGGATGAGGTATATTTCTACCAGACCTTTAACTTCCTCATATAGATAGAGCAGTGGATAGATAGAGTTTCTAATATAAATCACACACAGTGACAAAAGAAAATCTGAATTCCAGAGGATTTATCTAAATGTGATTACTTTCGAGAGAACAAAAACACTAAGCCACAGTCATCATGAGAATGGGAGAGCGGTATTCTCAGTGGAGAGAATATTCTCTTGTATTTAAGCCTGAAGTCTGTTCACTGCTCCCCCTGGTGGAAAACAGCGACACTACACATTTGTTTTGCAGACATGGGAGGGGGGACTGACAGTCAGCCAGATTTCTCTGCTTATACAAACACACAGTCACTTGACCCACTGGCGACCTGTAATACATAGTTGTTCTTCTCAATAAACCAGAATACATTTATCCAAACCAATTGGTGTGTCTGCTGACATCAAAGACAGAGTGTGTGGTGCAGCAGCTGACACGCCTCAGGGCTGTAGATGTTTTCTGCTTCTCCGGCTGCCGCTCAATGCTTATACATGTCCTGTCGCATGTGGTTGATTTTACAGGAACCAAATAAAGATGAGTCGCTTAGGATTTCTTTCTTTCTCTGTACTTAAAGTAATTTATTGTGGTACACTTTAAAATGGCTGCCATAGATGTTGATATCATCAAACAAATGAGAACCATCCCACTGGCAGGATGTAAATATCGTTACGATATTATTTTAAAACTGTCACTGACATCCCAGACAACCGGTTGGTTTGCCTTCATAGCCCTCTGCTCTAAGCTGTTATTCCTTCCTTGTTGAAGATCAAATCAGATACTACCTTACAGTTGATAAGCCAGTTGTTTTCAAAGTGAAATGCTTGGGGCCTACTCAGAGACCAGTGCCCCCAAAATAAAATAAGATGGGAGTTTCAGAGATATAAGAACCCTGTTGATAGTGCAGTTATGTAAAACATCTATTTAGGGCTTACAACATGAAACAACAGTTCATATTATTGGATTTTGTCCCTCCTAATATTGTTCCTTATCTTACTTCTTCTACCATATCTCAATGCTTTGGAAATCCCATAATGCTTTGGGGTGAAAACAACAGGAAGTATATTGTTGCCATGATGATGGGTTACACAGTGTTCTATGTTTTTTTAGCCTTCATTTTGACAAAAAGACATCGTGAAAAATGTGCGGAATCACCTATTAGCTGTTACTGTGTGCGATATGCTCATGGATGTTTAGAAATGATCCCTGGATTACTTGGATTGGACCTGGATTAACCCTTTTCTTTCTGTTTGGACTCCGCAGGGGGTGAAAGGCCACAAGTGTGACGTGTGTTCCCGAGAGTTCACCCTGTCGGCCAACCTGAAGAGACACATGCTGATCCACAACAGTGTCAGACCCTTCCAGTGTCACGTCTGCTTCAAGAGCTTCATCCAGAAACAGACCCTGAAGACCCACATGATCGTCCACCTGCCTGTGAAGCCATTCAAATGCAAGGTGAGTGGTGGAAGTGGATACAAGAGAGTATAGATAGATGGATAGACAGACAGACAGACAGACAGATACTTTGTTGATCCCAATTTTGGAAATGTTTGCGTTTCAGCACATAAAAAACAAGGCATTGTACATAAGAGAAATTTAAGACACAAGAAATAAAAAAATATTTCTGAAATAGAAATGGCATAAAAAGTTAAAAAATATATACATGTGGAAATACAGTAACAAATATAATGCAGGATATTATTGTGCAAGAATTGATTGGAGGAAGTGCACGATTTTCCAATCAATTTTGGTGTGAAATGAAATGTGATGGCGCATTTTCAGTTTAATTTAATATAACAGGATTATGTGAGGAGGATAATACGCTGAAATTCACATTAGTGTGGGCGAGAATTTCACTCTAAGCTTTGAGGCATCCGTTATAAGGCAGGATGTTTTCATCTCTAACTACAAGAAGCTACTCTAAAGTGAATCTTTAAATTAGTTGATGTCCTTGTCAATCAATGTGAGTATTTTATGTGATTTCTTTATTTTCCTCCAGGTGTGCGGCAAGTCTTTCAACAGAATGTACAACCTGCTGGGCCACATGCACCTCCATGCTGGCAGTAAGCCCTTTAAGTGTCCTTACTGCACCAGTAAGTTCAACCTGAAGGGGAACCTCAGCCGGCACATGAAGGTCAAGCACGGGATGGAAGTCTCGCCAGAAGGACAGGGTGAGGCCGCTGCACGTGTTCTCACATTTTATTCTACAAGTCTTATTTAGCAGCCAGTGAAGGTTCATTGAAAGTCTGAGATCTTGTTCACAATCCCCAGCAGTGACCCTCTGATTGTAAACCCATTTATGGCATGCTTCGACAGCTTTAAAGCGAACACCCAAACTATAAAATGATACACACATGCCTACACATTCAAATTATTGACAATGTCTGTGGTGAATGTTTAGTCATGTTTTAATTTTGAGGTTGGATTTGTATTTGTAACTATGTCTTTATTCAAATGAATCATCCGTGTGCTAAGCCAGAATATGTAAATATCATATAATTGGACCCCTTCATGCTCCTGTTCCTTAAAACAAATGAATATTTCTCCCAGACAGGCAAGAAAACATGAACAAATACAATTGCTATTTGGAAGATAAATCCGTGATGTCATTATAAGCATTCAATTTATTCAATCATAGCCAAGGTTTAATGCATTGTGGTATCCACTTCCTCTTGCTTGTCTTTGTCTTTTTTAGGCAACATTTAATTTATTTGTAATATGTTTACAATTATTGCAACATTATATTTAGCAAGAAAGTCCCTAAAAACCTGAATCACTAAATCTCTCCCTCACAGTTCTTAATTAAGCAGGCTACAAGGAGTGTTTGTGTGTTCAAATCTTAATTAAAATGACCACATCGGTTCAGTGTTGCTCTTTTTAATCAGAATAGTATTGGAGAACTATCTAGGATTTGAAATTCTGAGGCTTTATTTAACCATATAAATACAAGTTAGAAGTTTTGTAGCATAAATGTATGAATAATATTATTTTGTTAATGTTATTTTTAAAGCAACAACTCATATTTATTAACCTTAAAGCAACACAACAATGTGAAACATGGTTTGTAACCTTAATGACCAAAGTTCGCCCAGGAATTTCTTCAGCATAGACATATTTGAATGTGAAATGTACTTAACAATACTGTTTTGTATTTCCCAGTAGTTCTTCCAGAAATGGATAACCAGGGGGAGTATGAAGGACAGAACTTCAACTTCACATCACCAGACAATATGGACAATGGTGGCTCCCAGAACCTTACTAAGCTCACCACGGCTAACATGGATGACATGGAGGAATATTACAACTTTGGGAAGGATACGAGCAGCTACGCTACACCTTGAGAGGCGATGAACCAGAGGACATGTTTTTTTCAAGGCAGAAGGAAATGACAGAGCTGTTGTCAAGGCTATGGGAGACACTGGGGACGAGTTATTTTTTACTTTTAGTTTTGGCCTCCTTCCAGAACAGCCAGAACTGAAGGACTCTGATGGGAGGCCGGGAAGGAGACGCACGTCAGAGGAGACGCTTTAGCTCTGCTGCTGAGGGCAGAGACACTGAACATGTTGACGCTGGTCTGGGACTCCTCTTTTGGGATTACTTCACTTACCCACTCAAAGACTTTCACTGGCGGACAGTCAAATCTGTATGTTGTGTGTATGTATCAGTTATTGGAAGAAAAAAATGAAGAAAAGAAAACAAGTTGCAGAGCCATCAGTTACATTTAAAGTGATAGAAATTTGTTTGCCATTTTTGTAATTCACCACCGATGTATGCCCTTATATTTTTGACTGAAAGTGCCAGCTAGATACATTTTCAACTAAGCTTCCACCATGTCAGCTATTTACTCACTGTATATCGAAGTTTGGATACGTAGTCACAACATGAAGCTCAGCGTAAATTCTTTCAGGAAGACTGACCACGCTCTCATTCACAATTCTCCCTCACTCACTCGCCCCCTTTCTCAATTAGCAAAAGGCGCAACTCACCCCAGCTAACCAATCAGCTGCGTCTTATTTCCCACAGCCAATCAGCACACCAGGCAAAACGTTTAAATCCGCTCTTCTCTCCCCCGTCAGCATCGTTCAGGAGAATTGATGCAACCCTCCTCCACCTCCTTCACCTCCAGCTGTTCAGACCCAAGGCAGGACAGCCCAGAAGAACCCTCATCACTCCGGATTTTATTTACCCTTAGTATTCACCACCACTAGTGTCTAGACCCGGGGGGGTTTCTCTTTTTAGTCGGCTTCCCCTCCCCCCTAATTCATCACAGTATGATGGGGTCTAATCTCCAAAAACACTATCGCGCACACGGCAATACAAATGCCATCAACCTCAACTAAGTCTCTCCTGATTAAAATATTCATAGGTTGAATGCTCTTACTAAACAGTTCCTAATTGTAGTTTCTTGCCCAGCCCTCAGTTTAAAAACAGGACGCTCTCTCAATGCGTGTGTGCTTTTCTGCACCGGACATTGTAGCCTCTATCTCTCCAGCGCACTTACGACCAAAGGTGCTACTGCCCCATGTCGGCTGATACCAGAAGACTTTGTTAGCGACATGCAAAGCCCTGTCACTGTACAAAGGATTCTGCAACATGCAGTGTTTACCCACCTTTTGTCTCACATGGTTTAGCTTGACATTAATAATCTATCCCGTGTAGTGAATATACTGCTCAAAGTTTTTGATTTACTGAGTGAACAATACAAAGCACTTTTTCAATGAGACCTTTCTTCAGTAAGAGTGAACTCATTTGCCTTGAGGAGAAGAGCTGGGGGAGCTAAGATTGTAGAATCTTTCAAGCCCCCATAACGGCAATATTATTGAACACAAATAGAAATGTTCTCTCAGTGCGTTTTTGTAAACTGCAGTTTCACAGTTTAAATGCAAATTGAAGAATCAGCAGTTTGTATGAGGATCAGCAGGTTCAGGTTTTTTGTTGTTTGTAGTTTCAGCACTCTTAAATCCAGGGCGGTTTTCACTTCACTTTCTCAATTCAGAAGTATATGCCCCTGCTTATTTGGAAACAGCACTTGAAGTGGATCAGTAGATTGAAAAGAAGAAAATACACTTTTGGGAGGTCTTGGTTACATTTTGTATGATTGAATTGAAAGTGGACTGACAATTGTCCTGATATCCATTCATCTGTTTTGGGGAAGGCCGTCAGCTCCCCCTGTCCTGCCATGCAGGTCAGCCTTGATATGCACACTAAACCAGAGGAAGGGTCTACTCGCTCTTCTTCAAGATGAGGAAAATCAAACTGAGACCTCATGGAAAATGAATTATTTAATAAAGGTTCTCTTGTTTAAATGATGGAGACTTGTGTTTTAATCTCTGTTTTTCAATTTTTTTTCTTCCTGTCAGGTATTTTCAGCCGTTTGGTGTTTGTCTGTCAGTTGGTCCGCCACTTTTTAAAAAAAAAAATGTTAGTCAATGTATTGAACATGTCGGAAACAAAACATACAACAATAATAATAATATATATATATTGTTTTTTTTCCTTTTTCTTCTCACTCAAAATAATAATTATAACGTACAAAAAAATAATAATACAAAAGAAAAAATAATAATAATTCTCAAATAGTCTGTCATGTTCAACAGGGGCAAGAAGAAGCTTAAAAAAACTTTTCTGGTCCTACCCCCTCTAGCATACATTTTTCTTATAAATAAAATATTAGGTCATCGTCATCAGCGACATGTTTGTCTTGTTAATTTTGTCTTTGATACGGACTGCAATATAATTATTATTGAATGGATTCCTATGAATTTAGTACAGAGTCAGACACTCTTGATTCCCAGGGGTTGTAGACGACTGACTTTGGTTACGCTTTTAGTGAAGTGTGTAACCTGAAATGTGTCCTGTTGGTTTACGATTGAACACAAAACAAGCAACATACAAAGAGTCGATGCACCTAAGAAACACACCCTTATTTAATTGTATAAGCGTTGTTTCATTATAGTACACATACGACACATACAGGTCAAGAAATTGAGAGATAGTACCACTATAAAAAAGATAATTTTTGCTATATCCAGAGCTGTAATTGTAGTTGGAAAATCCAGCACCAATCCCACTGAGATGTAGGGTGGAAACGACTACTCTTAACCCATATAACTTGTCACATTCCCATCAGCCTCAGCTTGTTGTTTGTGATGATTAGCAAATGTTAAATGGCTTACATGCTAAACTAAGTGTGTTAGCGCATATCAACTTTAAATAAGAAAAAGAGCAAAACAAATTGAAGGACCATTTGTATTGTATGCAGTCAGTGGCAGGAGGTTAGTGTTTTGCTTTAGGACACCTTGCCTGTTGTTGAAACTGAAATGTACCTTTTGGGTTGTGTCTCTCTGAAGCCTCAGTCATCTCCAGTGCAGACCCTCCAACTTTAAGGTGTGCTCTCATGGATTGGTTCTCCACTGTTTCACAGATGCTTGGCATTGTGCACGGATTACACTTCCATAGGAAATCATTTCCCAGGAAGTGATTGAACAATTTGCTCAGAGATATGACTCTTTTATGGCTGCCGATCATAAGTGAGAGCTGCTTTAGCACTTAACAGTTTCACAGGAATGTTCCTCCTGGAAGGAAAAAACTGGGGAAAACGTAATCTAAATGCTAATTTCTGGTAATTTTTTCGATGGAGGGACCTTGTTCCTTTTCTTTTACTTTCTTTGTACAGTGAGAGAGACACGAGCATATTTCCTGGTCAGTGGTTAACTTAATAAGTTAGCCACTGTCAAGCCATTTGAGTATCATATGCTGTAGAATAGATAGAGAATTAACAGCAAGAAAAGCACAATATCAAACTAAATATTGTTTGTTAGTGTTTGTATACTCCACATTCCTTTTCATTAAATCACCAGCTAGGCCTAAAAAACATTGTATCCACACGATGAACACCATCTTATTTAGATGAGGAGAAACGTTGCTAGAAGGTAGATTCAACTTGTGATTGACAATCTGACACCATCTTCAATTTAGTGCAGAAAGCCTAATGTATTCTCTTCTCTATCTTTATTAGAGATGTTATTCTATTCTCTATTCTGCAATACAAGCAGTTTTAAACAAGGATTAATAATGATCTGCAGGTGCATTTTCTTTTTGCCTAGAATGTCAGGTTTCAGTGTAATCTGGTGGTACATTAAAGCTTTCATACACAGTGCAGCACCTCACTGTCCGACTGTGACCATGTCGACATCTGCTGGTGTGATACTGTAGTTGTAAGTACAGCAGGGAGCTCTGGCAGACCTCCCATTAGATCCGGCCCCCTGCTGGTGCGAACACACTCACTGTCAGGCACTGGATGGTGCATATGACAACCACTAAATGAGCATCACGCATGAATGCACTGCTGGACAGGGGCTCATATGTGCAAGTGCATGAAATTAAACTGTGAAGTTAAATTGTACGTGGCCAGCATTTACTTTTAGGGATTATGAATTCAACATCTGGATATGTCAGTTCTCTGGAGCCCCTGTGAGGAAACCTCTACAGCGCCTCTAGAGGATTTATGGATTTAACACTGGCTCAACATTACACACATGAGTGTTATGGAGGATTCAACTGAGCACTACTTGGCATTCCTTCAACAATATCTCATCTGAAGTTCCTCCAGAGAGCTTTATAACCTCTTAACTTCCCAGTGCTATTATTAGACATATTTTGTTCAAATGAAAGATAAAGGCTTCTTCATCACCATCAATATAATTGACCCTCATGCTAGGAACATATTACACATACAAAGGGATAATGATTTCTGTCCCTGAGAACCCTACTGTAAGTAAAAACCAAGTTAACCTATTTAATAATAATAATAATTTATAAAGCGCTTTTGATCATTGACTGATTTAGATCAGCTAGAGATCATCATAGATCTGAGGAATATAAAAAACTGTGTTAATTTAGAAAGATGAGTTACTGTGATATACAAAAACTAATACAAAACAAACACAAATGATTACCACATATCCACATATGCATCTGAGTGCTCATGCTCACTGACAGTGTGACACTTTAAACGCTGACCCAGGACAAACATAAAATCCATAATTTCCACCTTTGACTGTAGACTCCAAAGACATTAGTATTTCTGAATAACAATAAAACCAGAAACAAAAAACAATGATATAAAAGGTGTGAAAGATAGCAGTAATATAATAAAGCATCTGTGAGATAACACAAATATACTTTGGTCTGACGGTAGTCCAGTTGGTAGGATTATTATTGGTACTGAGGAGTGTGAACTTTAATCCAACTAAACCCAAAAGGATATTGTGTTTGTTTTATCATGCGTGTTCAGGTAAGCAAGAAACAACCAACAGTGTTTCTACTGAAGGTGAGAACAAAATGACAATAAAGCAGAAAAACATACACTGCATGTTAGAGTGATTATCACGATCCTTTTTATTTGCATGCTGAGCAAAACATGGCATCACTGTCCTTGATTGTATATTGAAATTGACATGTGTTTGATATGACTGTTAGAAGTTAACATCAATATTAATTCAAAAACTACAAGTACTTGCAATACAAAACTGTAAGGTGGCAGAAGAACGAAAACAGTGTGTGTCAGTCAGCTTTACAAATACAAAAATGTCATGGAAGGTAGTAAACTTAGTTGCTTCTAAACTTTATACAATGATTAAGACAAATTAATGGTTACAACGAGATAAAAACGAAGTGGTCCAATCCCCCAAATCTTCATTTACACAGAGCTTTGTCCAAGTTGGTCTTAATGGCATCCAGGAAGTCCGATGTGTTGACATAATGTTCATTCAGCTTGCAGCTGTAAGATAGCAGTGCAGAGGTTACAATTATGATACAACTATTGTTAAAACAAGAGAAAAGGTTTTCTTAAAGCAGACATACAACACCAAGTTTAGCATGACGGAGGGATGTCAAATGTAAACTCACTTTGCCAATCCATGAATGCAGCTGGCGAGGTCTTTGGTCATCACGCCTTTCTCCACAGTAGCCACACAGATCTGTTCTAACGTGTGGCAGAACCTGGAGAGCAACAATGCAGAGGATTTTATTCATTTGAAGTAAAGTAGCATATTTTGTACGAGTAAATACAATTCAAAAATATGACATACTTTATCAAATCAGTGTTTCCGTCCAGTTTGCCTCTGTGCTCCAGTCCTCTGGTCCAAGCAAAGATGCTCGCGATGGGGTTAGTACTCGTTTGTCTTCCCTACAAAGCAAGGACACAGTTAGGGGTCGCTGCAGAAAACATCATTTTCAAGACTTGTGGTTGCTTTGCATTCAGGTACTTTGATGCTACTGTAGATGGAGACATTCCTTTCTCTGCCTCTTTTACTATAAAAGAATAGGATGTACTATGAAGGACTTGCAATGTAACTATAATTGACTATTAATGACAAGAATACCTATAAAACAATTCCACTCTCAAACTTATAGCAGTTCTGCTGAAAATAGCACAAAATGCTAAACTCACTGTATTCATTAGGTTCCACACTGAAAACTCTGTGAACTGCAGTATAGTATGGTGTCATTTGGTTCTGACATTTTCATATTGACATGATTTTAGCCCACCATTTGATTATACAAAAGTTAAAAAAAACACTCAGCAGTGTGGCCTGGTGGTTCTTACCCTCTGGTGTTCCCGGTAGTGCCTGGTGACGGTGCCATGGGCAGCCTCGGCCTCCAGAGTCTTTCCGTCAGGGCAAACCAGCACTGATGTCATGAGACCTAGAGAACCAAAACCTAGACACAACACACAGAAACACAATACACAGACACACCTGGCATCACAAGGTAATCTGTACCCACAAATATAAGCACACAATACGTAGCTCAGATGTAAATAATGTGTCATTGTGACTGTGTGGCCTGAAGTGAACAAGCAGGGGAACTGCTGACCAATCATCAAATGGAAGTGCACTTACCCTGAGCCAGAATGTCTGACTGTACGTCTCCATCGTAGTTCTTGCAGGCCCAAACGAATCCTCCAGGAGACTTCAGGACCTGCGCCACCATGTCGTCGATCAGACGGTGCTCGTACCAGATCTTCAGCTTGTCAAACTCTGGCTTGTATGTCCTAAAAGAAACAGAATAAAGTCAAACATTTGTCTCATCAACAGAGACTATTTAATCCAGTGGGTTGACCAAAACATCAAAAACAATCCAGTGCATCCATACTGTTCAGTATCTTACTTCTCAAAGATGTCCTGGAAAATGTCTTTGAAGCGCCCGTCGTAGAACTTGAGGATGGTGTTCTTGGTGCTCATGTATAGAGGCCACCTTTTCTGGATGGCATACTGGAAGCAGCTGTGAGCAAATCCACTGATGGACTGTGCACAAAAAAACAAAACAATAATAAGGTCTACATTTTAAACAAAAACAAGTTAGCAAATGCACAGCCCAAAGGAAATATTTAATATCTAACAGATTAGCTTTAACTGTCTGTAAATATTGCACTTTTTTGCATCTTATTTCATGTGAATTCATGTATGAACAAACTCTTACCTCATCCGTGTTGTACATCCCCATCCCACAGCCGCCTGCAGGGAAGTCGTACACCTCCCACTCCCTCTGCTGGCTTCCATCGGCGGGGGCAAACACCATCTTGAACTTGCCAGGCTGGTCAACAACAAAGTCTGTGGCCCTGTACTGTGAGATTTAACAACAAACAAGAGCAGTGAGATCATTCCTCTGTCAGTTTGGATGCATCTTTGGAGAGCACACAACACACATTTTGCATTTCTTACTTGATCGCCAAAAGCATGTCTGCCGATTGTTATGCCTTGTGTCCATCCAGGGACAAGACGTGGGATGTTTTTACAAATAATTGGCTCCCGGAAAACGGTGCCATCCAGGATGTTCCTGATCGTTCCATTGGGACTTTTCCACATCTCCTTTAGCTTAAACTCTGAAAAAAATGGTATATGGATTATAAGCGTTTTCCATCTGAAGACCAAAAGCAAGTCTCCAAACAGTAAGGATAACTATATGAAGAACCAAAAAGCGTCATGTATTTTTATTAACACACTCACAAATATACAACAGATTTTATAACTAATGGTTGAAAATTAAAAAATGTGAAAATATAAAGCAAAACATAAGGCTTGAAACTAAGGAAGCATTTTGCATCCCCTTGAGAGAAAAATGTTTACCCTGCTTTTCTGAATTAAAAAGATAATTATCAGAATGATGAAAATAGTTTCAAAACAGAAGGGACATATATGCTTCCCTGAAACCGAGCTCTCAAGTAAATGAGAGCTTCGGTTGGGATTTTGAGATATCTTGTTAGTAAAAAAAAAAAAACAGGACAGCTCATTTTTGGAAAGCAAACGCATCATGCTTTTCTAAGTGACTGCCTGATTTGTTGTATAACTTGAACACATAGTATTCCATCACAGATACTATATAATCACACACTATGTCAAACTGACCCTCAACTCGAGCCTCGTCGGGGGTGATGGTGGCACACTTGACAGCCACGTTGTATTTCTTAGTTGCCAGAGCAGAGTCGATGGTGACCTGGTCGTCTGTCTGGTCGCGGTAGGGCAGACCCAGGTCGAAGTACTTCAGCTCAACATCCACGTTGGGCAGGATCAGCTGCACATGTGCAAGATGTTACTGTGTTATTTATAAGAGGGCAACACTGCACAGCATACACACAAACACACACTGAATAAGTGGATTTACCCAAGTAGGATACTTGAGTTCAATGTTGAGGTATTTTTTACTTTACTTGAATATTTCCTTTTTCTGATACATATATTCATACTTCTAATCCAGCTAAATTCTGGTGGAACTTTATTGTACTTTTGATTTAACTTTAATTCATTTGCAATCAGATTATTAATACAACCATAACAAATTATACTGTGTATTGTAGGTTAGGTTATACACGTTCTTGATCCTTTAGTCAAAGTGGACCTACCATGCTATATATTGTAGGGCCATATTTATATAAAACATGTCTGTGAAGTTTAAAAAAATAAATACCAAACAGATCATGCATTTTAGCCATGCCTCATTTCGCTCTATTTGGTCTTTTCCAGCCCTGTTTTTACAAGGGCTGATTCTGCTTTTGTGGCAGACTACAGCGCCACTTACAGGCCTGGCATATGTACTACAGCGTCTCCAGCGCTTTCGAGCGGTCTCTCCTTCCCCTGATAGGTGGAGAGTTGCCCATATAGGCGGAGCACCCCTTTTCTGACGTCAGAAAAATTCAAATAATAATCAGATCCGTTGCAGCCCCGTTTTTAGAGATTTGGGTATGGAGGAAAAGAGAGAGGGTTGTGTTTTCTGACACTTGGTGAGTTCCCTGACACACCGGGGACACATATTCATGTGTAAAAGACGTACACAAGTGCATTTTGCATGATAGGTCCCCTTTAAGTTCACAAGCTAGTGCACAGTGTTCTTTCACTCATGTAGGATTTTGAATGCGGGATGTTTACTTGTTAAAAGATTATTCCTAACCCTCGTCCTCCTCTGATTACCATAACCTTTGGATTCTGAATTCAAACATCCTCATGTTTGCTCGTAAGTAAAAGCGACTTACAGCTTTTTGACACAAAGAAAGTATAAATCATTATCAGCTAACTTCCAGACTGGATTTACCCTGTCTTTGATGAATTCCCATATGATGCGAGTCATCTCATCTCCGTCCATCTCCACCACCGGCTGCTCCACCTTGATGCGCTGTGTGGCATCTGAAAACAATCACAGAACATTAACTCTCATGTTGTACAGTGTAGTTTAAAGCCACTGGGGGATGATGCCGAACATTTTTGGGTAAGGCAAAACTGAGAACAAACTGATCACACCTGCATTTGGGTTAATATCTCTTTCACTGCAGGGTTCATTCTTACTGAGACAGTGACTTTCGGATTATTTATAATACCAGTATTACCTGTGTAGACTTATTTGCTCCTGATATACATGAACTCACGTGCCAAGACAGGGTGGTACCAGCCTTTATTGTAGAATTCATAAGATCCCCTTTGTACTGTATTCATATCCATTTCATCATCATACACATTTGATTCAGTATTCAGTATGATAACATATGGTGGTTAGGTTACTAACATCTTGCTTAAGGTTGTAGATATTGTTTAAACTTTCTGTTCTGAGTTTATATAATAATAATTAAATGCAATGCTTAGAAATGTGATCCTTCAAAAAGCGTGTATGTGTGATTCACTTATGGCTAGTTTCCAATCAGCATGTGACCTTTTACTGACGTCTACTATTAGTTTAGTAAAAATCATTCATAAAACCCACTCACAAAGCCAGCCACATTAATGATGCTGACCATGCCCACTTTAGTAATACATTTCGAGTCATATTGTTAAAGTTTCATTTTTAAAGGGTTGCTTACAGTTCCTCTGTTGGAGCCTGTGACGGCAGCCGACAGCCGATGAGAGCACTGCGGGGTTTAGAGTCAGGGAAGCGCCTGTACTTCTGGATACGGTCCTCAGGGCTTTCAGGTAACCCGCCATGTTTACCGGGCTGTTAGGGACACCTGTTCCCTCTTTTCTTATGAATTAACGTCACGCAGGTAGTAGAGCCTGGTAAAGTATGGACACCCCGGACGTCAGCGTTTGATAACACGTCAGCTTGATAGAGCATGCTTCACTCTGATTGGCCAGGAGTCTGATTCAAGTTCAGGTTCCTCTTCCTTATTTCCTGCAGCAGCATGTCCAGGTGGCGTTTTAGCTAGCTTTTATCCACACCGTCAGTGGTGGAAGGACTGAGCTGTTTTACATACAACACCAAAGTCTAGAAATACAGAGAATATACCCCATTAAATATAAGTCATACTTTTTAAACTGTTACTATAGTATTATTGTTGATATGAAAAGGTAAACGATTATACTAAGGGTCTAAGTCAGCCAGAAAGCTTGAATCATTTCTGGTTTCTTGAGAAGATTTAAGCTGGATCTGAGATTTGTGCATCTCGATAGACATTCAGGATAGGGTGTACATGCAAATCATAATCAGACAATATTGCGAAATACTTTCCACCAGGTTTTATTCAAATCTGTTGACAGGTTGTTTGGACAATAAGAGATAAACACAGAACTGCAGTGAAAGCCTTACTGATTGGTCACTTCGCAATGTCCAACATGTATCTTTAAGAAAAAAGATGGACTTATAATCACACCCACATGTAATAAAATAAGTAACTGAAAATCCAATCAATCAGTAACAAGAAGACGCAACCATACATCGACACATTTAAAACAGAAAACTTTAAATTTGGTAGGAAATGAGAAAAGAAAGATTTTTTTTAAAAGGCACTTTTGTATGAGACACAGAAGGACATGAGGGAGAAAAGAGCTCTTACACCTCATTAAAACAATCCTTTTCGCACATAAATTAAGTTAACAACAAACATAAATCAACATTAGAAAACAAGAACAACTAACATTCAGAAATAACCAATGTGCCACAACGTACTAGATATTCTGATGATGCCCCCCATGAGGGTCCTATACTGTAAAAGCAATCCGGTTCATTGACAGATGAATCAAACTTATTTGCTTTATTTTGCACCATGCAAATATAATAAACTAGAAGGGCACTCAGAGAGAGCCGACCTCCACCAAGGCTGTTTACGTGAGTGTAAAATAATGTGTACATCAGATCAGCTGGAAAATTAAATGTGTTTTTCCTTGGCACAACTTCTCACCAAATGTAAGGTAAAATGGAGCAAGTACTCCTATAAACCTGCTGACAAAGTTATAAACTGTAAACATCAACTTCTTGGAGGAGGAGGTAATCTGCTTCAAGTGAGAGTGCTGTTTCTTCAACAAATAAAGACTTCCCAAACTATCTATTTAACAAAAAGGTTTGCTGGAAATACCACAAGATGTGTGCTAATCTCATGAAGCATTCAGGTTCACATCGATGAGGTTCCACCCGTGTTTCTCAGGGCACATCAGGAGAAAAGAGTTTTAAGTTGTGGCCGCCACTGAGCCTTTCTTCTCGCTGAAGAAGCTCCTAAGCATCATGACTTGACCGATGCCGATAACGAACAGCAGGACGGTTTCTCCGATGGACCAGTAGGTGACCCGCTCCAGGAGGTGCTCAGCTTTCGTGCGGTCGTGTGCTTCTCTTAGTCTGTACCACGTCTGCGAGTCAGCCACCACCTTCAGGATCTCATGAATAGACACGCAGGACGACTCCATCTGAAAGTGGAAAGGGCAACAGAAAATTCATCAGAAGTACAGCAACGGCCTGGGGCAGAACATACACGTAGGGTTGCAAAGGGGCGGAACATTTCCATGGGAAGTTAAGCTGGGGAATTTTGGAAATATTCGAAGCAAAATTAAACAAAAAAAATGACATTTCAACAGATTTTTATTGTTTATTTTTTAAGTAGAACAGAACAAGTTTTAATTATTTTATTGAACAATTATTTGTTTCATTGAAGAACGAAAACAGGAATGTTGAGTTAAATATTACTCATCTGTGCATGTGATGGAGGAATGCACGGTGCCTCTAGGGGGTGTGGTCTCAATAGCCATGCAGTAAGCAGTGTGCTATGGCATGGATATTCAAGTGTACTTGAAAGGCATCTTTTTGTTTAAGTCAAGATTATGCTAAAATATACTTTCCCTAAATATATTTAAATTCCCTATGAAGAGCCTACCTTCAATTTAGAAAATTCCCAGTTTATTCCCATAAATTCCCGTTCATTCCCATGGAAAGTTTCCATCTTTGAAAATTCCCGGAATTTTGCAACCCTAGTCACACGTATGCAAACATTTAATCATATTGTATTATCAAAACTGCTGCTGAACACATTTACTTTGACCTATTTTCCTGCAAGTCTCCGGATTTAAATTAGGTAAAAGTGGAATATATATTACACTTTCCTCTAACCATTGAACTAAGAATGTGGGCTCATATGGAAAATCTGAGTATGAATTGTTGTTGATACATTTGAATAGAAAATGTTTCAATATTCATGTAAATGGCAAAGATGACTTAATCCAGTTTGTGTCAAATTGGAAATGAACCTTTACCTTTTTAGTCGATGTTATAAACATTAACACAGCAGGGTGTTTCAGGTACTGTGGTAAGGAGAGGGAATTAAACACTCGCGAATAATATTGTGCAATGGTTAATACAATATTTGCAGTACATGGTGATGCTTGTTATGTTAGACTTTTATATTTGCACTCTTTCCCAATTTCTCCTACAGTCATTTCCCTCAGGATACAAGTGTTATCTTATCTGTAGTCAGAACTGCTCTAGCTCCACCTAGTGAACTTTCCACTGTTTGCATTACACATATTTATGTTCTACTACAATACACAGTATTTGATCCTTGTACAGTATTTCATTTAACATTATGTTTTAAGCTCATCTTATTATATATATAGTTTACTTCTTACTAGGGCCGGGACTTTAACGCGTTAATTAAGATTAATTAATTACACAAAAATTAACGCGTTAAAAAAATTAACGCATTTTAATCGCACTTATTTTTGCACCGCGGAACGTTTCTCACTGGATGAGTTTCAGGCGTACCGATTATACTGGAGCACCAACTAACGTTCATGACTTCAGACAACAACAAACCACAGTGAACAACAGTGGGAAATGTTTTTTTTTTTTAAACGGATGGATGGAAGCGTTGATAAGAGCACGGTTGTGTGCAAATTATGCAAAAAGGAATTCGCATATCACCGCAGCACATCAAGCCTCAAGTATCACCTCAATGCAAAACATATAGCAGCTAGCGTGGACGTTAGCCTCTTTTATCGCGTTCACACCAAAAAGAGCCGGTACTAAAATTAGTTCATGAGAACCTTTCTACCCCCACGAAAGTCCCTGCTAGAGAGCAGAGAGCTGCTAGAGAGCAGGGACTTTCGTGCGGCTCTCTTGTGAGAAAAGAGCTATATGTCTGATTGGCTGGGCGGATTGCAAACCACGCCCCGTAAAACTCCCAAAAAGTTTTGTGAAGCCGCCATTTTATTATCCTCGCATTAGCATTATTAGCATTAGCCCAGCGCAGAAACGCAGAGAGACTAACTTATGGCAACACAAATAAAACATGGGAGCGGTGGAGATGAGGAGGTGTCGGCGTTCTGGCGATTTACTCGGAAGGCTTCAGTAGAAGCTGCTGGGACTCCCAGCAGCTTCTACTGAAGCCAGTCCCCAACTCCGGGGACTTCCGGCCGGGGACTTTGGGCGGCAGTATACGCCGTGAAGTGGTTTGCGGCCTGCCAGTAAACCCAAAGCAGAAGAAGAAGAAGTGACGTCAGCGGCTTCATTTGCCTAATCCTCCCCCAGGTTCAAAGAGTTCTCATGAACCTTTGTGGGAAAAGTACTGCGGTGTGAATGCGCCTAATGGTATACTAAAATCCATGTGAAAAAAATTGCTTCTCACTGTTCTTAGGTCAAATATTTACATGTGATTAAAAATGCGATTAATTTCGATTAATTAATTACAAAGCCTCTAATTAATTAGATTATTATTTTTTAATCGGGTCCCGGCCCTACTTCTTACGCATCTACCTGCACATTTGTCACTTGCAATATTGTCTTGCAATATTTTTATTTTATTTCTGTTCTTCTTGCACTACTTTTTTTTGTTTATATATATATTATATATATTTATGTTGCATTGCTGAAGGAGCTTGGGACTTAAGCTATTCATTGCCATAACTACACTGTAGCTACTGTGCATATGACAATAAATCGTTGAATCTTTACATGAACTGTCCCAACCCAACTTAAATACTATCAATGTAGACCAACGTAATCAACACAACACAACTGGCAAATAAAGTGTATTTTTAATCAATATCTCGCCTTCAACTTATGCAAAATGCTGCCGCAAGACTTTTAACAAATACCAGAAGGCTAGACCACATCACCCCTGTTTTAATCTCTCTTCACTGACTACCTGTCTGTTTTAGAATTGATTTTAAGATTTGACTGATTACTTTTAAAGCTCTTAACGGTTTGGCTCCTGATTATATCACTGACTTGTTGTGCCCTGACGAGCCTGTAGCCTCATCCCAATACCCCTCCTCGCGTCCTCCTTTCCCTCACTCGCGTCCCTTCCTTGCATCTTAGCTCCGCCTCCGTAAGATGCGAGCGAGAGACACGAGGAGGTGACGCTAGGACAGAGGAGTCTTCAGGTATTAATTGGGATGTCCTCGTTCACTCAAACGTCACTCTTAAACGATGTCTGTTAATGATGACAGCTGTATCCCCTCTCATCGGGCTTAACTGAATAACCCCTTAGAACCGGCCCATTTGTTGTTAAATATTTATTGAAATGAATGAATCTTTCTCTTGTTAGTCAAGGAATTCAATGTATGATGGTATGATGGTTGGTCCTGCTTTTGTGTTCCGTTTTGGTGTAAAATGTAGCCTACATTTAAATAAAAATGTAATTATAGTAATGTGAAAGCCTTTTAGAAATGAATTGCACATAATAATTCCCACGGAGCTGTGAGCACTTATACATTTATGTGACGCTTTTCCACTCATCTTCCAGTTGTCGGTTTTCCTCTGTTGAAATCGACCAGCTGTGAAGGTGGGGGCGGGGCTTTTATATGCGAGTAGTGAAAACACTTCCGCGTAGACTGCTCGCGTGTATCCTCCCGTTTGTCTCCTCCCGCACCCCTCCTCCCGCACCCCTCCTCGACTCCTCCGTGTGCATTTCAGCTATTGGAACGTCCTTCAAAATGGCGTGTCTTGATCGATTTCCGGGTCAAGTCCCGGAGGGGAAGAGAGGAGTCGAGGAGGGGTATTGGGATGAGGCTGAGTCTGAGATCCTCGGGAAGGGCTCTGCTAGCTGTTCCCAAAAGAATCAGTGACATCTTTTAAATCACTTCTTAAAACTCGCCTTTTTATTAAAGCTTTTAACTAATGAGGACACCACTCTGTTTTACTCGACATCCATGTATTATTTGTTTTACCGGTACTTTCTTTTTTTTGTATTACTGCTGCTATTGTTGAACTGCTGTATATTTCTATTGGGTGTGTTTGAGACATTTTTGATGCCGCCTGAACGGCCTGTTCTTAATCCATGTAAAGCACTTTGTGACGGTGTTTTGAAAAGTTCTGTTTATCAAAGTTATTATATATTATTAATCTGGATTATATCTGTAATGTGAACATATGGATTGTAGTTTTCTGTTTGGTCTTTTTGTACGTTTTCTGTTTGACTGCCCATCAGGGTGTACCTGCAACCGTTTCAAAATAGAAGAAAAAATAAAGCCGATTTCTCAGCAATGCAGCAGGGTAATAACAAATCCCTAGCCCAAGCCCCCTATGTGCAAAGACAGAAACTATGTCATTGTGTGGTTCTCTGAACAATTTTAAGAATCTATTTTCTCACACACTGGTTCAACTACTGTAAGTTTCAGCCTGTGTGGCTCTATAAAGTATTTCCACTGCAGCTAACAGATGTAAACACCCAATCCTCAAGCGAACTGTAATACCAAACTAAATTACCTGAGTCAGTGCTACAGGTCCAGTCATGGTCTGAATGATAGGCTCCTCGTCTCCATGGCGGAAGTCCAGGTACACGGTTTTATCCGTAAAGGTGGAGAACTCATTGCTGAAGCAGACCTTGTAGACTCCCTTCATAGCAGTGGTGTGAGAGAAGCTGTCATACTGCTTCTTCTGCTCATTGTACAGGACATTGTTCTGAGGATCCGTGACAAAGCTGTCCACATCATAGTTGCCTCCTGCAATGACCTAAAAGAACATTAAAAGGCACAAGAGACACATGTGTGAAACAGTAGTAACATATGGTGTAACATATGGACTGAGCAATGCTGTGCCGGCTCAAACTGGTTATGCAGGACACACTTTAGGAGAGTAAGAAAACAAACCTTTAACAAAACATTATTTCAAAAATGTAAGTGTTATAAGATAAGATTAACTTTTTTGATCACAAACTGGGAAATGTATTCGTTACAACAGCATGTTAAAACAAGGCATTGCACAAACATAAAGAGAAGAATATAAACCTGAACTAAAAAGTTAAATACAAGTTCACCCTGAAAGATTATCTGACAAATAAACACTAAGAAGGGCCAAATGACTGCTAACACAATTTAAAAGTAGGATATTATGTACATCGAGAGTGTTAATATGAAACTATAAGTATAGGAAGGCATGTCAGTACTATGCATGCTCTCTTTCCAAGAACAAGAGACAGACACCAGATCAAATGACTATCTTTGGAACCACTTTGGCAGCATCCTGTAAACACATCCTAGACGGAAGTGATGAAGCTTTCGGAGTAACTCACTTGGAAGTCTATATCAAACTTCACGTCTTTCTCTAGTTCCTCGTAGAAACATTGCTTATCGTTGTCAGGGAGCTCGAACGTGATCTCCGTCCCAAACACCACGAACACATGCAGCAGAAAACAGCTGAGTCCCAGGTAAACCATGATGAGAGCAACCAGAAGCAGCACAGACAGGAGCAGCACTGAAGAGGAGCTTCTCAGCTCTGACGTGGCACCAGGATGAAGTACTTCCGGGGCACGTTTGTTTATTTTTGGGTAGAAATGTTGCTACAGTTATCACACGTACGATAATATTGTTAACAAGACACCATATAACATCTAAATGTGACACAAACAAGTTAAAAAACAAAATTACAGCAAAGCATCTACATTTAGATCTTAGCCAATGATTACACGAAGCACAAACATCCATGGAGTTAAGGTTTCAAAATAAAAGCCCCATATTTTAAACTAACTATACTTGTTAACCCACACATTATCTGTTATTATACAAAACAAAAACACAAGTCTGGTTTAGGAGTTATGTATTTTAAACCGTAGAAGCAATATTCATGAAATGTAAAGATAGGACCCTGCATTCAAAATATATTCAAGTTAAGATGAGGAAGATGTATGTGTTAACATGTTTTGAAAATGATTAAGGCAAGTCAATGGTAATGCAGTATTTCATATCATTGGACCCTTGTTGTTGGTGCATTGACATGTTACCTGCAGCTGGAGCACATTTGAACTTAAACATGTTGTTGGTTTAAATCATTGAATGACTTGTAATGTTAATTTGGAAAAGTATTAAGAATAGATCAGTTCAATCATTGTAGTAAAGTAGGAAATACAATATTTGTATCAGTAGTGGAGAGGTAAGGCAAGGCAAGTTTATTTATATAGCACCTTTCAACACAAGGCAATTTAAAGTGCTTTACAAAAATGAAAGACATTAAGAAAATGGCATTTATGAAAAATACCTGATAACTAAAATACTACCTTAACATTGTAGGCACATGCAGTAGTTGATTAAATGTACTTAGTTACCTTGTACTTATGTTGTTTTGTCAAATGTGATAGCTGACCAAATTAAGAATAACTATTCAAAAGTATGCCTTTATTTAATAAGATAAAAAAACTACTGGTGTTGCATTTAGGGAAACACTGAACTTCGTTTTGTTTAAATAACACAGCAGAAGATGAGTCAGCGAGCTGCAATGTGCAGGTGGGGGGTGTAGGGTGTGTTGATTGATTGATTTAATTGATTGATTGATTGATAGAAAAGTTTATTAACAGCTTGTATATTGGGTACAGTACAGTACAGCTCAAAACATACAATTGTTAAGGGGATGCAGACCAGAGAAAGACTTTCGTCTTGTTTACATCAGGGTCCCCCATTTCCAATTCATCATATCATTTAAGACATATTTGACATATTTGACATACAGATGGCTTATTTACAATTTACATACAGGTGGTTTTTTACATACAGATTGCTTATTTACAATTTTCATTTTAGATTTCGTTCTAATACATCCTAACCGGACATTTAAGACATACCAAGTCTACAGATATACAGTTAGTAACAGAGTCTAAAATGCGAGTATATACATAGATGGGGGGGGGGGGGGGGGGGGGGAAGCTGTCCATTGAACGACAGGTTGAGATTTGTACCATTACCGGGGCCAGTTTTGCAATGCTCTCCCCCGAAGGTGCTCTTTAAGAGAGGTTTTGAAGGTAAGTATAGTTTTACTTTCCTTTACAGTTGTGGGAAGAGCGTTCCACCTTGATGTGGCATAATTGCGAAACGTGTATTCCCCCTTTTTTGTGCCAAATCTGGGTTTCACATGATTTGTGGAGCTCCCTCTGGTGTTATGATCATGGTATTCCTTGACCTTTGGGAAGAATTTTGACATGTACATGGGTACCATAGAGGTGTAGTGGATCTTGTAGACCAGGCCCATTGCAAGTAGCTGTACTCTGTCGTCTACTCTAAGCCATCCTAGGTTGTCAAAGTGGGCAGAGGTGAGGTGGGTTCTAGATGAAAGGTCAAGCAGTAGTCTGACCAGTTTATTTTGCGATGTTTGAAGTTTTATTTGTAGTGCCTTGGAGGTGCTATGGTACCATGACGTGCAAGCATAGTCATAGTACCCTTGAATGAGTGCTCCTGCCAGAGTTTTCAGGGTGTTTTTGTTTACCAGAGAGGAGATCCGGTATAGGAATCTAGTTCTTTGATTGACTTTTTTTATTACATTGGATGCCATTTTATCACAGGAGAGGTTTGCCTCAAGAATAGATCCTAGGTATGTAATTTATTTCTTACTTGTGACAATAATGTCACCCACTGCAACTGAGAAGTCGTCGGATTTGCTGAGATTATGTTTCGAACCGAAGAGAATGGACAGATCGGCTGCTCTGCTCTCATTGAGCCTGGGAAAGATGATCAAAACATGCCCAACATTAGCAAGTAATTACCACAAGTGCAAATGTCATCTTTTAATTGTAGATAAAAGCCAAACAGCAGCAGCTTGTAGTGCAACACAACATGTGTCATGGTCATGACATTAGAGAAGAGTCTTTTATTCTGAAAATCCCAGCTCTTGCACCACGCCCAATCAAAATCGTCTTTGCTACACCGAGGAAGGGGAAACAGTGTTTGTTTTTTATAGCATTGACTTTCATCCTATAAACTGCTCAGTGATATTCTGAGCGGACATTACTTTTACTTCTTTCTACTAAAGCTTGTAGTTTGGTAATAACAATTAACAGGCTAAAATATGCAAAACTACGCAGATAATATGAGGGACTTTGTGGAGAAGCATGCTACCGGTCTCGCTGTTGCTTTAGTTGCAGGTAAATGTTTCTCTTCTCTCAAGGATATTGTGTATTCTGTGTGTGTGGACCTTTCTACGTGTTCTATCATGTCAGTGCAAAGAAAGCTAACTCTCCTACTAAGAATGCAGCGGGTTGGAATATAATGGTACATTATCAGGCAGAAATATGATTGTCAGAGAAGTTTGACATGTTGTTCACTATGACACATGTATTCATGTGAATGCAGCTCTCTTTGTTCATATCTTGAAATGCCAGTGGAGTAGCCAATTGATTGAGCATTGTTAAGTAGGAAATAGTAAGTATTTAGAGGATTGTCATAAATGCACAGTGAAATTAAGCTCCTTATATTATAATCTCCTTGAATCTAAAGCCATAGCTGAAATTCGAAAGCAGGGGTTCAATGCATCTTGTTTTACCAACAGTTTATCATATCTCATATTCAAGGACCAAGAAAACTGTATGAATAAACGCATTATATTTCAATGTAAATTACTGCTTTATTTTATTGTAATCTTACTGTATTTGTATTACAGTGTTCTTAATATAGTTCGCTATCTGTGATCTTTAAAAAAAATGTGTTTTATATTTGGATGTATGCTCCATGACACCTAGTCAAATTCCTGGTGTGTGTGAACCTACCTGGTAATAAACCCGTTTCTGATTCTGATTCATTGAACATTGGGGTAAATAAAAAAATAACTACCAAAACCAGGCATATTACACTGCATTTGATATTATTAATGTTATTATTTGTTCTTCTGTCAGGGGTGAGCGCACTGGCCTTGCGGAGATGGATGTCTGGGGGAGTGTGTCGGAGCAGGGTCAGGCTGGACGGGAAAACAGTCCTGATCACAGGAGCCAACTGTGGCATTGGGAAGGAGACGGCCCTGGATATGGCCAATCGGGGTGAGCGTTCATTTTCTGTAAATATTATTTGTTGTTTTTGCGCGGCACTATTATGTTAACAGTGTCTTTGGATTCAACTAAATTGACTGCTTCCTTGACTACTTATTCAATACTACTTCCTCTTTTCTTTATCAAGGAGCCAAAGTGATAATGGCCTGCAGAGACATGACTAAAGCCCGCATTGCAGCTGATGAGATCCGCCAGCAGAGTGGAAACGGCAACGTGGTGGTGAAGAAACTGGACCTGGCCTCGCTCCAGTCTGTCAGGGACCTGGCCAAAGAAGTCCAGGAGAATGAGGAACGTTTGGACATCCTCATCAACAATGCAGGTGCTTTGCAGGCGTTCTCCCTTACATTTTTACCACAGGAGCGATAATGAAGTAATCAAAAGCACCACACATTTATAGGCAAAAACGGATGTAATTTATAAACCTACGGGCATATTTCGGAGCACTTTTAAATATCACCTCACAGATAGAGATCACAACTGAAGCCATTTCCGATTTATGCTGTCTTTTATTAAATCAAATACTTACAATTAATATTTTAGAATGCAATATCTAGACAAGTATTGGGCAGAGCCTAGTGTCAGCATAGAGGCATGTCCACTGCCATGGCCCATATTGCACACAAATACCTCAACAGTGCCATGGGAGTGACTGTTTTCTTATGCAGGCCACTGTCATAGAAGAATGTCATCAATCTAGTCTGCAAGAGCGACTGGTCAAAAGAAAAGTAGACTTCATGAACTGGTTGACTATAATCATGTCATAAAAGTTCCCACTGTTCCAAGTAATCGTATTCAACTAAGAGTGTGGAAAGATATATTCACTTTCTCTCTTTCGAAGTCACTGTGACATTCAGTTTCTTAGATATGCATTTAGATATGCTTTCCTTCTCAGCATGGAATTCATTTGGGTGATATTTAACTTTACAGACAAGCTGTTTCCAACCACTTTGTAGAACATTTTACTTTGTAATGGTTTCTTATGTTGTTGTGCTAATTAAAAGCAATGCATGCCAACAATCAGAAATAAGCAAAACTAAGCTGTGATGTTAAAAATTAAATAAAAAAACACCATCCGCATTTAACACCACACATGATAGCATTTAAAACGTACTTGATCATGATTCAGAGTATTACCAATTAAGACGGATTGACATCAGCAGTTTCTTATTTAAGGGTTTTATTTTATTGAGGGATAGTGGTGGTCCAATGGATAGTGAGGTGGGCTGAAGATCGGAAGGTTGTGAGTTCAAATCCCGCCAGGAACACCACCACTAGTGTGCCCTTGAGTAAGGCACTTAGTCCTCAGTTACTCCAGGGAGAATGTCCCTGTGATTGGTAATTGTAAGTCGCTTTGGATAAAAGCGTCAGCTAAATGAAATGTAATGTAAATGTAATGTAATTTGATTTCTAGGTATTATGTACTGTCCTAAGTGGGAGACTGAGGACGGCTTTGAAATGCAGTTTGGTGTCAACCACCTGGGACATTTCCTCCTCACCA